CATAAGAAATACTTAAATAGTGTGAGGCGAGTATATCTATTCTCTCTCTCTCTCTCTCTCTCTCTCTCTTTCTAATTCCCTTTTGCAAAGTACTCTGTCCCCTTATTTTCCAGCATCCTACCTGTCCCCTCTTTTATTTCAGCCATTCTCAAGCTCCTTCTCGATAACGAAACCAGAACCACATCATCTATTTCATTTCTCTCTAAGGGCAATAGTTGCAACACCACATCTCAAATTCGATTCCTATAGCTGAACTGCCAAAAAAAAAAGGGAAGTATGCCATGGGGCACCTTATTTGGTCTCCCTATTTCAAGAGAAGTCGAGGCATTTTTATTGACCATCTTAACGTTATTATCTAACAACCATGTCTCTTAAGCTTTCTGTTGAGCACCACCAGAATAGGAAGAGAAACGACAAATAACACAAGACACAGATAACCAGCATAGGACAAACCAAGAAAAAGGCCATAAAAGATCAACGTCACAAAAACACAGAGAAACACTTTTAAGAGTGACAACAGACTCTGTTTTGTTCATTCCTTGAATTCAAATGAAACACAAAATATTTACATCTCCACAAAAATAGAAATTCCTGATGCCCAAAATGTTTCCTCAGTACTTGATTGAAGATGTATATCTTTGACTCCCACAAGTTTAACTTTTTTTCTGTATCCTAATATTTGACGCTACAAAAAAATATTGAAAACAAATTAAACCAAATATTACCCTTATTGTTGAGATCACCTACTTCCCGATGCTATCGGTCAGTGCTGATTCTAAACAAGGGCAATTCAGGACATTTGGTCCCTCTCTTAGTCATTCATGGGTTAGACAGAACTAAGGATATCTTCTGTAAATTAGGACTGGTTTGCGGATTGGGAATGCCAAAGTAAAGCAATAAACTTCAGTAGGACATGTGAGAGTTCACAGATCATATGAATGGAAAGAAAAATTGATTATAAAGATGAGTAGACAAGAATCAATCAAAACTATTATATGAGAACTTGGGATCTTATGCAGCAATTTTCACATTGTAACTTGGGTGCCATACGTTCTTGAGATATCATGGCCTCGATGTCTCTCTTTTTATTTTTTATTCCAAAAAAGAAAAAAAAGGAACTATCAAGCCTCGGTGACCTAAGTAACATGTGGCATCCCATCAAACCCAATTATGCTTAACTGGGCTCTTACATAGCCAAAAAATAAAACAAAAACCATATGAGAACCCATATCCATTTATCTCTGTGCATGATCCCTTTACTTATTGAAAACTGGATTGAGAAAGGGAGAGGTAGAGAGTAGAGACAACTAATTTGATTTGTGAGGAGAGATCCATTTTAAGATTACAAGAGGGTAATTTGTTTTGCTAAGAAATAAGAATCCTTTATGGAATCTTGGCTCACCTCTTCTCCTCCCAAGTCACAGTCATAGTGGCCAGTAAGTTCAATTTTACCTGGATTTTTGTTGCAGAAATCCTATAGCAAAAATTGTGTGAGCTTCAAATTTGTGCTTTGTCAAATTTAAAGTACCACTACGATTATTAGTGATGCTCATCATGTAGAAATGCATTTCAATTGAATGGGGCATTTGTTCCTTTCCAAAGGGAATGGCTCTAGCCTCCACACTTACAGCAAAATCGCTCCCTACCTATCAACCAAATATGATCTTCAAGACATGGACAAGGCATAGTGATGGATAAAGCAGATTGAGAAGAAGAGAATATGATACTATAAATCATCTTTTTTCATTAATTGTTGTATACAAAATATAATTACAGTCAACAAATGGGTCAAATCCAATGGAAAGCGGATACCCAAAGCTCAAAGTTGGGAGTCTATAAGAGCAATCTATATGTTTTGGATGTTAAGGAGTGCGACCCGAACTTGGATCAACCGATTACTGATAAGCCTCAACTGATTGTCTATGTAGTTCATGCATTCATCCCATGACTCCGACTGGTTTTGGGCATTGATAGCACATAATTCTTCAACCTTTCCAGAGCTGGTGTAGAGGGCATTGAGGGCAAGTTTCACACAGTCCCACCCATCACTTGGTGGTTGTAATTTTGTTTTGAGGAATGTCGATATAATTGACAGCCGTTTCCTTGGTGTCATGAATCTCGAAAGGAGAGATCTATACACAAGAGCAGTGATAGATCCCATTTGTTTCAAGGCACACACTACATCATGGTCTTGAGTAGATCCTTGGTGTTGGGGATGATAGGAAACTGATTTGTAAGTTTTTCGCAAAGCGCAAAGGCAAGTGGCCAATGCCTTGGTCGTCTTCTTTTGGGCTAAGATGCAGGCCCTAATTTGGCCTCTCAATGCTGTGTGGTCTCTTCTACGAAGAGCTGAGAGAGCACCTCGCTGTTGCTCTCTTACTCTGGCTATGGCATCATTCATTTTGCTGCACATGTCCATCAACATAATAGTCTCATCGAGTATCTCCTCGACACATTTATGCTGTCGCCGAATGGCTTCATGGACGAAAGGCAACCGGAGAAGGTCATCAGAATCATCATATATAGCGACCAAGGAATCAACAGGACACCTGCCCTTGTGCTTGGCGTCGCAATCACTGAAGCTGAGCAACTTCTCACTCGATTGGTGTAAGATTGGGTGTGATTTAGATGGCAAGCTATTGGATCGAACATGGTAGCAATTTGGGACATCCATTGCGCAACTTCGAAACCAAGATCCACACTCTGTTGCTTGGAATGAACCAGTGGCCATGCCTCTTGTAAGCTCATGTATTAAGGGGGAGACAAATGGAATCCTCCTCCTGTATGCCATTGCTAGCAAGTGGAGTCTTGGGGTGAGTATTTGTTGATCGGCAGGGTCAATGGAAGATGGATCTGATTGTCTCAAGGACCCCAGACAACACACTAATTGTGGGTGCTTGTGGCACACATGGTGGTGTTACTTATTTATTCTGGAATGCACGAGTGGCTTGCCTACTTTCTGCCAGACAAAAGGCCAAATATTTAATCCTTAAACCATGTTGGCTTCGGATCAAAAGCGACGTGCTTCAGTTCTAATCAATTGTTTGGTGGGTAGGATCCCAAGCTTGGGGTCATGGCGACAAATGAGGCTGGTTTTTGCATTTTTACATTGATTTGTTTCCTATGTTGATGTGTGCCTTTCCGGGGGACTTTCGATGGAGTTGTATGTGTGCTCAGCACCAAATGCAAACTGAAAGCAAAAGGAGTCTTTTTTTTATGTAAGATTAAACAGATGCATCAATTTCATTGTTGCATTTTTTCAAACAATTTGAAGGATTAAAACTGCACATAGATGACCATATTATCTTCAGAAAAACAGAATTAAATTCGTTTAATATCCATCGAAAATGTGCCTTCATAATCATCAATGATTGTGATCTGATCTGTCGGCAACTACTGCTTGGAGTGTTACCTTCCACATCTCTTCCATGAATCCCCAACCACCAACAACGTATCCCACCACTCACCAATCTCTCTCTTCCTAACATCCATATATACCAAGGTTTAAACAAAGGGCAAGCTATGGATTGGACATCCTAAACACTGTGATCGAACAAACTGGATCGGAGAATCGACTGGATCGACAAGAGCTCGCATGGAAAGATTTTCAAATATCACTAGAATTTTTTAAAAATCTAGTTTCTTTCAATTTCCAAATACTAATCGATGATATTGCATTATAATTTTTATTATTTTAATAAAAATACATAAATGCTGAGAATCTTGATTATTATGAGTGTTTAGTATTTATTACATTCATTTTATGGTCAAAATAAGATTTAAAATGCAGCTCACTCGAATAAAATGGATCTTTTTAGCTCAAATTTTTATTTAAAAAAGATAAAAAATAAAAAGGAAAGGAGTTGGACTACATTCGCATATCTTTTGACCTTATAGAGACAATAAAAGTTATGCCGCTCGCAATGAGCTATTTGTTTTTATTAAACCAAAATATAAATTGGGAAAAACGTTAGGACCCTCCATTTTTGCTTTCTCACAACATAAATTTTCGCTATTTTAAAAAAATAAAAAATTATGGTTTTGATTTTTTTTAAATAACTTCAAATTTCATATTAGTTAACTTAAATCATTTCTAACGTTTTCCTCACATGGTCACAATTACCGAGGAAATAAAATTCTCTCCACTACATGAGATTTAACAAGTAAAAAAGTATATATTGCCAAATAAATAGATCTAAGTTATAAATAGATCTAAGATGAAATAATTAATAAGGATAGAAAGATGGTATTTGAAAACACGAATTTATAATCACATGTTAATAAACTTAAAAAAAAAAAAAAAATTATAATTATAATAAAGCAAATAGATATAGTGACTTGAAAATAGATTTTTAAGTGGCCTTATGAACTGGTGTTATTTGTTTCTTTTTTAAATATCCCATGTGCTATATTTATCGGTCGCCTAAATGGGTGAGAAAAAATAATGTAAGATGTGTTACAATATCATGATTTGTCCGCTTTTTTAAAAAATATAACATTAGTATGGAATACATGAACCACAATCTTTAAAGTATAGTTAAGCCATACTTTAAAATTGCACAAACGAAAATTTTGCAAAAGTTAGAGAGAGCGCCCAATACACTATGAGCTCCAAATTGTCCCACATCGGGGCATTTAAAGGCGGAAAATCTTGGATAAAACGTTCGGGGCTCACTCAAACCATGGCGAGCATTTCCTCGAGCACACTTTCGGGCTTATTTTTTATTTTATTTTAGCCTCCTACTTGAACTAACTCGTACCTCCTAACAGATGTTGTATTGGATTTGTGCCATACATAGTTGGCCTATTTAAGTCTACTTTATATCATTTTTATCACCTATTAGTGTCATACCAAAAAATTTTCACATGTATTCGTTTCAAATTCTATCCCTTTTTGTCTTGCCACTCATCCACCTCAATATCCTTATCTGAAGTACACTCATTCTATGGGTATATTGTTTCTTGACCATCCAATATTTCAACCTGTAAAGCAAAGCTAGTCTCATAGTTGTTCTATAGAACTTGCCCTTTAGCTTCATTGGTATGCGGCAATCACATAAAACTCAAGTTCTACATCTCTACTTTGCGCACCCAGCTCTAATTCTATTTTCAACATTTTTTTCAATCTCTCCATTTTCCTAAATTATTGACCCAAGATATCGAAAGTATGTTTTTTTTTATATTTCTTGATTATCAATCTTAGTTACTTCCTCCTCTCGACTTCTATTATTATAAACTTGTATTTCATATACTTTATCATAGTCCTTCTACTTTTAAAACCTTTATATTCTAGAGCATCCATCCAAAGTTCTAACTTTGTAAAACACTATTTCTAGTCTCATTGTTCAAAACTATATCATCTGTGAGTAACATACACCAGATATCTCATCATGTAGGTACCTAGTTAGATTGTCTGTAACTAAGACAGAGATGTATGGGCTTAATGCAGACCTATTGTCACTGAAAACTCATTTGTCTCTCCAGTAATTGTTCATACACTAGTTAGTGCTCTCTTGTACATATATCTCACCAAGTCGATATAGTGTCTAAAGACTCATTTTTTCTCCAACGCCCATCAAATATTCTATCATAAACTTCGTCTAGATCAATAAAGACTATGTGAAGGTCTTTACCCTTCGTCTTAAACTTCTCAGTCAGTTGCCTAAGTAGAAAATAGCTTCAGTAGTTGACCTCCCTGACATAAACTGAATTGGTTTTCTGATACACTCGTTTCATGTCTTAATTATAAATCAATCATTCTCTCCCTACAACTTTATAGTGTGGCTCACAAATTTGATACCTCGATAGTTCACACAAGTTTGTATGTTTACCTTCACATATCATATATAAAAGGAGATATTGGTTATAAAGATGAGTGGATAGGAGAATCTTTCAAAACCAATAGTCAAAAACTTGGGATGCTATGCAGCAACTTTCACATTGTAACTTGGGATGCATATGTTACTCAAGTTATCACGGCTTGATGTCTTCCTCTTTTTAGCCAGGCTGACTTAAGTAGCATGTGGCATCCCATCAAAAAGCAATCATGTTTATCTAGGCTTACATAGAAAAAAAAAAATAGAACCTATATGTATGCCCCATATATCTCTGTACATAATCCCTTTACTTTTTTAAACTTGGATTCAGAGAGGGAGAAGTAGAGAGAATTAATTTGATTTTTGAGGGGGGGATTCATTTTAAGATTACCAGAGGGACGATTCTTTTGTTAAGAAATAAGAATCCTTTTTGGAAAGCTTAGCCTCATTGTTCACCTCATCTCATCCCAAGTCACAGTCGTGGCGGTGAGTAATTCAATTTTACCTAGATTTATCCCCCAAAATCCTATAGCCAAAATTATGTGAGCTTTAAATTTGTGATTAGTCAAATTTGAAGTACATCAAATTTCCTCATGAAGAAATGTATTTCAATTGCATGGGGGCATTTTCTCATCGCCAACGCAAATGGCTTTAGCCTCCCTAAAGCTTCCAAGACATGGACAATTGCATAGTGATAAGAAAAGGAGATTTAGAAAAAGAGAATTTAAAGAAGAGAATATGATGCTACAAATCTTCTTTAGTAAATTGATCTATACAAAACATAATTACAATCAACAATGGGTCAAGTCCAATGAAAAGCGGATACCCAAAGGTCAAAATTGGGAGTCAATAGAAACAATTTATATGGTTAGGATGTTGAGGAGTGCGACTCGAACTCGGATCAACCGATTATTGATGCATCTCAACTGGTTGTCAAGGTTGTTCATGCATTCATCCCATGACTCCAATCGGTTTCGGGCATCCTTAACACACAAATCTTGGACCTTGCCAGAGTTGGTGTAGAGGGCATTGAGGGCAAGTTTCACAGAGTCCCACCCATCATCTGGTTGTTGTGATTTTGGTTTGAGGAACGTGGATATAATTGACAGACGTTTCCTTGATGAAATGAATCTCGAAAGGAGGGATGTATACACAAGAGCAGTGATAGATCCCATTTGTTTCAAGGCACACAGGGACATCATGGTCTTCACTTGATCCTCGGTCTTGGGATTGATAGGAAACTGATTTGTAAGTTTTTCGCCAAGTGCTAAGGGAATTGGCCAATTCCTTGGTCATCTTCTTTTGGGCTAAGATGCAGGCCCCAATTTGGCCTCTCAACGCTGTGTGGTCTCTCCTACGAAGAGCTGAGAGAACACCCGCCTGTTGCTCTCTTACTCTGGCTATGGC